GCTCGTGCGCTCTGTATTAGCATAAGCAGCTCTTGTATAAGCTAATCGTGGCAGCACGCGAAGGGGGAGGCTCGCGTCGCCGTGATAAGGCATCCTCGGCCGCGGCGTGCGCCGCGCAAATGTGAAAGGCAAATAACTCGTCCCTTGAAAGGTGACATTGCCGCCCTCGCGGCGTCAGACGAGCGCGCCCCTCCAAAGCGTGATCCGTGGAACACCCAGGGAATCTTCCAAAGCACCGAGGGAGGTCCGAGACGTATTAAGGAGGGTGGCGCCGCGGCCGGGAGTCGAAAGCTAACGAGCCCAACAGCGCCCTCGGAGAAAAGAGACCCTCCGACAGCGTTCCATCAATATAGGCGGAGTGGCCTAGCAATACGGAAGAAGAGTTGCTCTACCCTTGCACAGTCGATACGGAATTCAATGTTCGACTGTCGACGACCATTGCGTGTTATAGCTCGGAGTTCAATGGCTCGTCACTTCGACGTGGGCAGATTTTGTGAGCGGGCTCATGAGTATTTTAGTAGGAATCATGGGCGTGTACATGGCCCGGGCAGGGAGCCCCCCCCCCCCCTTTTTTTTTAATAATCTAAAGCGGGAGTCCATTCAGCCCCATATACCACTGCTCTCAGTCGGAACTGTCCCATTATGGCCATGGCGGTTATGGCATTATGCCATGACATTATGGCAGCCGTTGAACACTGATGTTGCATTCAAGGAGTTATTTACTTCACAACTTTACTGTGTTAAGGCAGAAGACCCAAGGTATGCGACTGTGAGAAGCACATCATCACCTCTTTTTTTTTTATCTCACCGACCACAAGCATTCTTTGTTTTCTTTAGAACTCGACTACCAAGTGACGGGTCGAATAAATGCACTGAACTTAGACTTCACACCGTCCAAAAGGGAACCCGCGGCACGCCTATGGCAGGTATTGATGGGTACTTTAAGTGTCGTTCAAGTGACGCTGCTTGATCGGTGAACCGAGCCTTAGGAGGTCAAAACCCTTATAGGGGAACCCATTTAAGTGATACTCTCACAACAGGATCGCTCGTATCAGTCTCATACGCCCTCGTAAAGGTAAAAGTTTGGCAGAAAATGCGGCATGCCACATGAAAAAGTTCCAGATGGCTCAGTAAATGCAGGGAACAACCACGATCCCTCCCTTAAAGCAGACTACAGAGCTCACTCCAGCATTCTTCGCACGAGTGCTGACGTTTTGCAGCAACTCTACAAAAGGTCGCCGTGAGACGCCTTGGTGCGCTGGGCTGTCTCCGCGGATGCCTACGTCGAAATCGTCCCGAACCCCCTATTTTATCGACAGCGTTCAATCTCGCCTATACAGAAACAAAGTATCTGCAACGTCAAGTTCGGCGCGATTGTGGCTCATATCCCAGTCTACAAACGAAGCAGAAACTGCCAGCCTTCACTCACAGACAGTATATAAAAGCCGTGCTCGACAGGCTACATTCTGCTTCAGACGAAAGGGCCAAAAACACTCCAGGTGGAACCCCTATAAACACACGACAATGCCGACGAACTGAAACAAAGAGGCACGAAGAAAAAAAAAACACCGATACATAGCGACCGTCTTGACGCAGGACAACTGCGCAGTGCGTCGACCCTTCCTGCTCTTTTGAAAGCCAACCGAAAGTATAGGGGCTCACCACCCAACAAAGCAGCAACCTAAAGGGGGAAAAAAGGCGTAAAAACAAAGCACCAATCCGCAGTGGCGGTGTATGCGGCAGCCCCGCAGTCATCTCCAAGCGAATGCTTATACAACAAAGCGCCTCACGCACGCAACTATACAACGTCGTATAGCCGTCCAAGCGACGGCTGTGCCACGAACGCGATGAAGGCCCGGGACACTTCAGCAGGGAACTGTCTCAAAGGGCCACTGTACTTCTCGGCCAGGAGGGAGGCCTCAGCGCGATGTCGGCCCGGATAGCGAAGACGTTGGAGAAATAGGCGCCAGCTAGCACAGACCTGGAGCTGCGGGCATGACCAGCTGCCGGTTGCCGCGGCTCGACAACAGCCGTCAGCCTCCTCGCCTAATGACAGCAAAAGAGCAGCTTCGTCCCGACATAATGTCGGGGTTTGCGCAAAGACAGAGACCGGCAGCCACCGATTAAGCCATTCCGGAATGCGGAGGAGTGAGTTTTTGAAAGAAAGAAGACGGAGGGGGCAAGAAGAAGGCTGTAGAATAAAGAAGAAGACACACAAAGGGACGCGTATAAGCTCTTCTGGGTAATCGGCCAAAGACCGAAGCTTTAAGAAGGAAGCGGCAGTATTGCGGAATGAGTGCGCGCGTTTCTTAATTTTTGGTCATCCTACACGTCTCGACTGGCCCGTCGTCCCAGGCTGAGCTGTTGTCTTTCGTGAAACGCACACGGCGCTAGTACCGGCGGTTGACGAACTGAAGCAGTCTGTGTGGACAGGTCGTGTCCCATAGGGTGATCAATCTCTTGTCAACTGCTTCGTCACTTGATGTACCTCTCAAATTTTAATACGCATCACTCGTGGAGATTATTATTATTTGATTTGCATACAGAGATACACAAGGACACAGCGGAAAGAGGGAGAGAGCAAGCTGGCAACTGCCAACTGGAGGGGCGCAACACCTGCTCACTCTTTCAGGAGGAGAGAAGAAACAGAAAAAACAGAAGAAACAAATACCAGAAAGAAGAAAGGGGAAAGATGAGGAACAAAAAAAATGGCGATACAAAGAAAAACAAGCAAATCTTGTTTACAAATGCGAGAATTTTAGTTTTAGCGACAACTGTATCCTATATATACACGCATCGGTATGATACAACACAGTACGGTGAAGCGCGTGTCTTGTCAATTCAGCCATCACACCGCAATGTGGTAGGTTATCAGCCGCTGATTCCAACACAGACATCAGCTGATACGATTGCGTTCGTCTGTATGGTGTTATTTTACGTAATAGCCGGCTTAGTTTTTAAGAGTCCCGCACATGAACTGTGCCGCTGCCGCAACTCCACGCGATGTGCGTCAGCTCACGTCGTGCTACAAAGCCGATTTTGAGATATGGACACCCTACGCGATTTTTATCCTATAGCAGCATCAAAATAAATGCGCTAATAAATATTCTCATCGAATACCTCGCGGCACAGCTACAAAGAAAATTCATAGCGACTTTTCTGAAAGACAACATCAGTAATTGACAAATCATTACATCCTGGTCCAAATTTTTCGTAAATAAATAGTTCTCGCACGTATAAGAAAGAAGGTTTGTTTCTTTATAAGTTCAGGGAAGTTCTTTTTTTTTTTTTGCGTAAGCTGTTAATTTCGCTGACATTACTTGGTGGAATTGTTGAGAGTTCGGCGCCTATAGGTTTCCCCCTTTGTGATGCACATGCAATTACCACGGCCCAACGACCAAAGTACGAGCATGACGCTCACCGCATGGTCGTTAGCGATGTGAGACAAAGCAAGCAAGCAAGCAAGCAAACAAGCAAGCAAGCAAGCAAGCAAGCAAAAGAAAGAAAGAAAGAAAGAAAGAAAGAAAGAAAGAAAGAAAGAAAGAAAGAAAGAAAGAAAGAAAGAAAGAAAGAAAGAAAGAAAGAAAGAAAGAAAGAACGTCGTCACGCGCATGAAGATATATACCATATACCCAGCCCGCACGACACGTCCTGTCGTCTAGCCGCGTCCTGCCGTGTACACGACCGGTAACAACCCTTGTTCCCTCGCCACGTGCTGTCACGTCCTGCTCGAGTTTTTTCGCTGTCACTATAGTATGTCAACGTCGCCAAGCTTTTCAGGCCTCGACAGTGTCGGCGCATCATCGCGCTCTGTCGTCGTGTCCGTGCCTACGTCATCTCGCGACCAGATGCGTCACGCGCCTGTCCTCGAGACCCAATGCCCAGCAAGCTGCCCTGTACCGCCTGTTTCCGAGGTCACCACACGCTCAGTATCAGTGTCGGCCTTCCGATTCACAAAGCTGCGCAAGCGTTGTTGATGATGATGTTGGCGGTTGTGGTGGCGTAATATGGCTACAAAAGTATACTTGGCCTGGTATACACGATAAAGCCTTCGGTACCTTTAATGTTTTTAAGTTACTGTGAACCAAGCGTCTTTAATATACCTTTATGGGTGTACACATGGCATTCGGATGTTTCATGCCTAACGCAATCGTGTTGAAGGAGTGAAATCAACCCATTTGATTGATTGATTGATTGATTTGTGGGGTTTAACGTCCCAAAACCACCATTTGATTATGAGAGACGCCGTAGTGGAGGGTTCCGGAAATTTCGACCACCTGAAGTTCTTTAACGTACACCCAAATCTGAGTACACGGGCCTACAACATTTCCGCCTCCATCGAAAATGCAGCCGCCACAGCCGGGAATCGAACCCGCGACCTGCGGGTCAGCAGCCGAGTACCTTAGCCACTAGACCACCGCGGCGGGGCCGAAATCAACCCATTTGTTGTTTGCTGGTCCTTCATAAAGATTAACGATAACTACAACTTAACGTGAGAAATTCAGTAATTAAACGTGCGCATAAGACCGGCACAATCTACTGTCACATGTTTCTTTGCGTGCCTAGTTGGTGGGCAGAACACATAACTCATATAATGTGTGTTTTTTTGTAGCAACGGCTTTTCTCACTGTACAGATAGTGACTGATATCAGCGGGGTTTTACGCTCCGAAACCATAACATAAGCAGGCAATTTCGACCACCTGGTGGTCTTTGACCTGAATGGACATCGCGCATTAAACTGACCTCTAGCGTTTCACCGCCATTAAAATGCGACCAACGTGGCGGGGATCGAACCGGCGACCTTAAGGTTAGCAGCCGAGCACTGTAACCACTACCCAGCCGTGGCGGACTTTGTCCTTTTCAAGTCCCTGCTTAAGTTAGGCGCTCGTACTGACGCGAACCTTTAAAACGAGGGTCGTCGAGAACAATGGCATACACGGCACGCGTGTAATAGCGCTCTATATACAAAATCAACAAAGACACGGTGGTCACGACTTACCCGTGGCTATCGACCAACAATATCTCGCTGCTGTCCACGCCGTCCATGGCGACCAACTCCCGCACAAAGATCTCGTATGGACCTTCAAGCAAAGAAAAAAAAAACACATCATTCAAAACTGCCTGCCGACAAGAAGGCTATTAATATGAATCTGTTTCACTGCCAAAACTGGCTCGTAACAGAACTTAAAATTTCAAGCGTCAAGTTTATTCACGGAATTGCGCGATTTCGATGCATTGTGAAGGAGAAACGTTTCCGAGAGAAAGCAAAGAAATAAGAATTGCATCAAAATTAGGCAAAATAAGTTTGATAAGCACAATAATAGTTTGCCTATATCGGTATCGATTTACGTGTACTCATGTAGCAAATGAGTACAACTACATTGAAACATATAAATAAAAAAACAGAGCAAGAACTGAATAATATGCTAAATAATCCGACGAAAGCATATATGGCTCTAAATTTTATTCAAATAATTTAACAGTAACATAATAAAATCAGGGTTGTGAGTGTTCTAAACATTCCATCGAAACAGTAAGTTTGTTTACCATACTTCGAAGTAACTTTTGCTAGCAGACGGCTATTCGGTTCACTCAATTTCTGCTTTTAATTATTTAGCAATATGAATATGAAGTTTCCACCGCCTCTTTCATTACGCAATTACTACAGCAATTAGTTTAGTATTGCGTTCTGCTAGTGAGCACCATGCGTTAGGGTTGGTAACCAAAGCGCGGAGCACTTGGACGAGCGCGGAAGAGACGGGTCATACAAGTTCGACGCGACAGCATTCCTGAGCGCTGCATACAAAATAAACAAAACATCATAGCATATCCACGAAGTGAATGAGGCGAAGCTTCGGAAGGTTTCATTGGTAAACCGTGAATCGTCCGTTCATCCGCTGGCCACGTCCATCCATCCATCCATCCGCCCGTCCATCTAGTGAACACTTCAAGTGCCGCCATCTCGCATATTGTCATCATATACAAGTACCGCCATCTAGCAGACATTTCAAGAACTAGACAAGAGATGGCACGGCCGGACTCGACTCCTTCTCCGGCGCAGGTGGCTACCTACTACTACATACATCGAGGACGCACGACTTCGGGAGCTTCGCCCCTAAAACGAAACACTTCCGAGGTATTGGACAGATATGGTGCAACTCGGAAACGGCTTCGCCGTACAGCTACATCGCTTTATTGCAACGGCCACACAGAAACAAGCAAATATTTAGATGATCCTGAAGACACCAAACAAACTAGCGAATAAATATTATATAAAAAACAGGCATCTATCGCCAAAGGAGCTGTGGTTGGCATAAGCTCAAATGTTTATTGGGGGACCACTCCGTTGCAAGGGGGGCGCTGCGAGCGCTCGATGGTGACGGACGCACTCCACATCGCCTCCGTAGATTTTCTGCTATTTCTGCGGACATCCACCTTGGTACCCCTGAAACTTGGATTTATCGTCACCGCCAAGTTCTCCGCTTCGCCTAGACAACACCTTCGTCCAGGTGGGTCCAGTTTTGACAACTTGAGGGACGTCCTTCACTCCCGGCTACAACGCCGCCTCGCTAAGGGCTCTCAGCCCGGCGATGGCGGCCGCTAATGTGGTTACGGGCTATGATCCTACCTCAAGCCAAAATGCTGTCCATGGAGATTTCATCCTCCGAAAACCCTATGCCATCAGAAGATGAATACCTCGACGACATGGTGAGACTGTGGCAACGCAAGCAAGCGAAATCGAAGTCTGCGTCTCAACAACAACGAGACGCCACGGCGGGCCACCATTCCCCAGCCTTGCAAGGAACGCCGGCGCGCCATCCCTCCGGTGGTGTGCCTACCTCTGCTCCGTCCTCGCAGCCAGCGAAGCAACGCAAGTGGCGTCCGCGTCAAACTCCTCGCCTCTCTCGCGACGACTACATCGTAGTAGTGAAACCTCGCGTTCCCTGCGAGCTACGCACATTTGTCCCGGCCGATCGCGCGGGCGACGCCATCCGCAGCTACCTCGGCGACCTGACTACCACGCAAATTCAAGTGTGGCCAATCTGGGAACAGAACATCTTGGTCTGTAGCACCACCATTTTGCCTATGGCACAGCGACTCCTCGGGGACTTCTAGCTGCAAGTGGGGGACCAGCAGCTGCCCGTTCGAGGCCACGCCAAGGCACCAGGGGATACATGCAAGGGCGTCATCAATGTAAACCCTGCTGAAAGCCCGGAGAAGATAAAGTCTGAACTGTATTGGCCTCAAGGTACTATCCTTGCGGTCCGCAAACTCGGAGATTCCGCGGCGGCGGTGGTGACTTTCGAGGGCACGAAGTTACCCCGCTTCCTCTTCTACCACTGCGTGGCGACGTATATCCGCGCCTACAAGAAAACGGTCCCTGTATGCACCAAGTGCGGTACCATCGGCCATCGACCACCTCAGTGCCCTCACGCCGCTCCAACCCAGTGTGCCAAATGTGGAACCCCCGCACCTGCAGGTCTCAATGCCCACGACTGCCACCCCAAGTGCCTCCTCTGCCACGGCGCCCATGAGACTGGAACCAGTGGCTGCACGGCAAAATACAGAAAATATCGGAAACGCAAGCAGCCCTCAACATCTCCTCGAGGGACCACCTCATGTTCGTCACAGCCAGACAGCAGCACAAACCTGCATCATTCGGCTCCACCACTCCACGCCGACTCTCAAGCATTCCCACCGCTCGAAGCACCAGCGGCGGTACCTCAGGTGAGCAGTTGGGCAGGGAAAGCTGCTTCTAAGCCTCTCTCACCCCCTTCTGTCGATCCTCCTTCTCCAGAACTTGCGGCCCTTCGCCAGCAAGTTGCGGCACTTCAAAAGCAAAATTCTCTTTTAACTAAACAACTCGAACTCTTAAATAAGCGACTTCAACCCCAACAACAGTGTACTGCAAGGCCATCCGGTATTGCCTCCTCTGTCCAGGCGGCTACGCCAGCTACGTCCAAGCTTAGTCCTCGCGCTAAGTCCACTCCCATTAAACCGCCAGTTCAAGCAGCCATGTGTACTCCAGCACTCGGAACCGGTGCCACATCTACTCCAGAAGCTCTTGAAGCTCCTGGGGCACCTCAGGTTCTCTTGCCCGCTAACCAAACTCTCCCTAGCGAGGAGCGCACCCCGCGCGTAGAGGAACGCCTCACGCGCGTCGAAGCTTCGATTAATCACCTCCTCACCAGCTTCTCGGTCCAACGCATAGTAGTAGAGGTTGATTTGTGGGGTTTAACATCCCAAAACCACCATATGATTATGAGAGACGCCGTAGTGGAGTGCTCCGGAAATTTTGACCACCTGGGGTTCTTTAACGTGCACCCAAATCTGAGTAAACGGGAGCAGTAGAGGTTACCCAGGCTATTCAAGCCTGGGCAATCACCCAGTTTCAACCCAAGGCATCGCGTTCCCGCTCCTGCTCGGTGAGCAGTGAGGGTACAGCTCCACGGCGTCGTCGTAAGGTGGCTACCACCACCCCGCCGTCGGACAATCCGGCCTCCGTGCCCCTCCCTGCCTCTGAGGATTCCGAGCGGGACATGGAGGACCAAATATAACACCTAGGACAGTCACGATGGCTACCAATCGTACGTCCCGTTCAAACATTGCGTCTAAATTCGAGATCATACAGTGGAACCCTGGAGGCTTCGGGAACAGGCGAAAGCGTTCACATCTTTCCCTTTTCCTCAGCTCACTTGGCTCTCAGCCGGCCGTCTTGCGCTCCAAGAATCTGGCCCTGCTCCATCCCTTTCTGGATACTGCTCCTATGTAGGTGGCACCACCACATGCCTCCTCGTGCATAAAGCTTACATGGCGATACAGATCGACCTCGATCTGAATCTTCCTTACGACTACTGCATGATATCAGTGCTGTCTCAGCGTAGGGGCCAACCATCAATACATATCTTAAACGTGTACTGCCCCCCTCGCCTTTCGAGGGCTTCGTTTGCGCATCTCTTCCATCGGGCACTGCGTATAGCGGCCCGACAACCACTGGTGATTGTCGGGGACTTTAATGCCCCCAGCCCTCACTGGGGTTACCACTACGAGAAGGCCCGGGGCAGAGAGCTCAAGGAGCTCATTTCCTCGCTGAGCCTGACGCTTCTTACCGATCCGGCACAACCCACACGTTCCGGCAACTCGGTCACGCGAGACACATGCCCCGACCTCTCCCTCACCCGTCACATCCGCGATGCTACATGGGAAAATTTAGGCGAAAACCTAGGCAGCGATCACTTTTTACTCCGCATTTCGTTCACACCGCGGCAGAAAATGCGCCAACACTGGGGTCAAGCCCGTCTCACCGATTGGACTCAGTTCAGAATGCAACCATTCCCCGCCGGCCTCTCCTCGACCGAATATGCAGCGTGGGCATCATACGCCCTTCATATGAAACAAGCGAACACTCGCACCCTTGCAACCTCTAGTTTGACTCCTGCAATCGATCCACACCTCCTACATCTTTGGCACGCTTGCCGCGGGCTCATAAGGCGCTGGGAACGCAACAAACTTAATCGGAAACTTCGCGCTCGCATTGAGGCGCTCACTGCAGAGGCGGCCGCATACTCCGCACAACTTTCCGATGCTAACTGGGCAGACGCCTGTTCGAAGGCTGCAAACCAGATGAGCTCTAAGAGTGCGTGGCGACTCTTTAGAAGCCTTCTCGATCCCTCCACCACCAGGGGAGAAACGCAACGCCAGCTCCACCGTGTTCTGCATGCATTTCAGGGCACTACGGATGAACTCGCGCGAGAACTTTGTGACCGCTACATGTGCCGCACAATTGATCCCGCAGGCCCAGCATATACGTATTCCGGCGCCCCTAACACCGACCTCGACGCCCCATACACGCTTTCTGATTTACGATTTGCACTCACGAAAATGCGACGGGGCACGGCCCCTGGACGCGACGGAATCACAGTATCGCTCCTGGCAAATCTTGCCGACCAAGCACACCTCTCGCTACTCCAGCTTATAAATTCAATATGGGACGGTTCTCCGCTTCCAACGGAATGAACCACATCGGTCGTGACATTCATTCCCAAATCGGCAAAGTCCGTTAGTATTGAGGCACTGAGAC